ATTCTGTAACGCCAATTTTCTTGGCTGTTTAGTAACTATCTTTGCTGAAGTTTTTTAATGATTGTTAAAAATTCTTCAAGTCGTTAGACGTTTATATTCATTCTCTTATTTTGAAGTGGATGACGAGAGTTTAAACAGCAGTTCCGTTTCCTGTCTTCACGTCCTCTCTTTGGCCCGGTCCAGCGCTCAGCGCCCCCTATGAAGATCAGTCACATCAGGGGTCAGGGGTCAGAACGGCCCTGGGTCTAGCTTCACATCCAAAATGGCGGATTGGTCAGTGTTTAGGCATTCTGCTGCAAAAAGATCAACTACAACAAAACAGATTACTTTAAATGTGCAGTAAAGGTATTTCTGCTGGAGATATTTGATGAAGAAATGTGTTTTGTTATGACTTATTGAATTCAATATAATCCCACATGTTCAGTGAAACAAAAATTATTTCAGCATTTTGAAAACTTATTTTATTCTATTTTTTTTTGCGACAGACGGCTCGCTCTGTGAACTTTGCCATATTTCCAAGATGGCAAAAAATACACACTAAAATGTACTAATATTAAATTTAACAGAAAACATTTGTTTAAAAATCATGACGATAACAACCAAGCAGCTTTCTATTCCATTCCCACAAAAAACTTAAGACATTCATTTCATAATTATGTGTAAAATTTTCCCTATAATGACTTTCTGCAAAAGAAATTCAAAATAAATATCAATGACTTGAGATTTTCAGACAATACAATTGCAACTTCATTAAAGTTTTTAGAAAGAGTTTCAAAAGTGGATGTTGTACAAGAAATCTATTCCATCTTTAGTATTAATACAATAACATTTGGTCTAACAGGGATGAAGAGTTAAATTACGATATATTTAATCTAAGTTTTATTCTTAAATACTGCTTTCTAAAAATCACCTCCATTTTAAAGTGAAATATCTTTAAACCAATATGTTAATATCTTAATTTAAGATCTGAAATTTGTTTTGCATGTGACATTTTGTTTTACTTTCCTCAGATGGTTTGTGATTCTTTTTATTTTCTTCTCTTTTCTGCTCAGTTTATCATATCAAACTTTTTTATTACTAATGTGCCTTGTCATGATATTTTTTTGAATTTTCTATAAAGATGCATTAAAAACAACCAAACATTGCCATAAATCAGCCTTTTAACTCAAATGTCACATGACGCAATGAATTGTGGGTAATACACTTCGCAGCAGTGCGTAAAAATGCGTACGGGCGGAAATGGGACCCAAAATGGGCGAAGGGCGGATGAGGAGAATGTGGGACACACTGCGACCTTTAACCTCCAACATGAAGGAGCATCTGAAGGAGGGAGAGGACCGGACCGGATCAGGACCGGATCGGGAACGGAGTGAGACCGGACCGGAGTGGGACCAGACCGAGACTGCACCGGGACCGGAGTGGGACCGGGACCAGAACCGGACCAAGACTGGAGTGAGACCGGAACTAGAGTGGGACATAACGTAAAACATAAATAGAATATCTAAGAGAATTATAGAACATATAAATTAGAAGATCAAACTTTAACAACTTTAACCAACAAAATAAAACGTAGCCAGACGCTTTACTCTTTCTCACCTAAGTTTAAAATGTCCGATTGGATATTTTTGCCTTTTTTAATTGTACGCAGTTCTTTAATTGTCCTGTGAGTAAATATATTTTCCATTTATCCATAACAACTGGAACTTTCGATATCCAGAATGTTATTTTTGCAATTTACCGTCTATTAATAGAATGCCCCTCAGATTAATTTCACTCCCTGCTGTGAAACTACCGTATTAACCCGATATTGGCTGGAAAGCGCAACGTCTCCCCTTTCAGAAACCGTTGGAATTTTTCAGATAGCGCTACGTGTGGCGGAATTACGGTACTGCAAATTTGGCCATGTCGTCGGCGGCACGTTCATTGTGGTAGGGTTAGGGATGTTCTCTGTTAGCGTCACGAAGGATTTGCTCAAAGTCTTTGTCTGATTCGTCGATTCCTTCGGTCTGTGGAAACGACACGGCAGAGCGCTGAGCTGCTAATAACCCTGGTTAGTCAACAAACTCTACTTTAGACATGGATTCATTGTTTGTTGGTGACGTCCTGGCCCTTGTTTTGCTAGTAGCAGCAGCTTGTTCTGAGGTGACTCATTTCCATTTAAAGACACGGTACCAAAACAAACCGCGCTCAGGTCAGAGGTCAGAGATGAGCCTGAAGAGCCAGAAACCAGACCAAAGTTCAGCTTTAAATAGGCCACAACTGGAGGATTCAGATGGAAAAAGAACATTTAAAAACATGACATGGCCCTTTAAGGCTCATTACATATTTTATCAGATGTGGAGGAAATCTGAGTTGTTCCATCCAACAGCTGCTCCTGGAAAACAAGAAGTCTGAGTTTTCCCGTTTTCAGCCGAAACGGGTCGGTTCTGTTCCATCCGTCTGACTGAAGTTATTGTATCTGAATCAGAATTATGCATTAAATCCATTTTTAGAGTTTCTGAAAGCGTTGCTTAAAGAGCAGCAGTGTGTTGTCGCGTCAGGCCAACATGGCCGCCGTGATCATCTGTTAGGAGCGCGGTGGCGGATAGTGATGACTCTCCGGTCTTGGTGGCTCATTGATCCCTGCCAGAGCGCTGGGCTGGAAAATTACCGCAGAGTCAGCACAGACCGCTCTGCACCTTTCTGCATCACATGTTGCTAATAAATCCATATTATTAATCTGAGTTTAGCACCGTCGTCATGCCGACGGGAGTCAAACAGATCCGGTGTTCCGCTGCAGGAAGAAAACCAAAACGTGGAATGACGGGAGCTAAAGCTGATTATCGGCGATTAATCATCCGTCTTTGCAGAAACCTGAGGTTTTAAACGGAGCTCCTGCAGGAGGAAACAGATTCACAGATGGAAAAAATATGAAAATAAAACTTTTAATAATGTTCAAACGTCTCATTTTATCAGTTCTTCACCAGTGTTGATGTGTTTTACTGGGACCAACCAACAGGAAGACGTTCAGCCGTCACTCAGGACAGCAGTTTGTAAAATTTGTTACAAATTATCAGCAATAATTTTTATTATTTAGCTTCTTATAGAGAAATGGATGGAGATTAAATTTTTAAACTCATATTTTAACCATATTTATAAAAATCAGTTTCAAACCAAATATTTAGCTCATATGCTAATTCAGTGGAAGTGGATTGTCAAAATAAAAGCTGGGTCTTTATAACTTCCTGATGTAGATCCATCAATAAATATTTAACCCTTAAAACTGATTTTACTTTGTTTTATAAATAAATGTAAATGTTGGTCAACAAAAGAGAAAAAGAAACGACGATAAAGAAGTTCACAGGACCAGCTTTTATTTTGATAGTATGTTAGCTAAGCATTTATCTCTGAGCTAGCTGACGTTTATAAATGAATGAATTCATGAACTGAACCTCCTGTAACGGCCAAATTAACCCAAATTAACCCAGTTAAACTTTAAAAATGGCTCCCAATAATCTTTGGTATTAACTTTAGTTTGATTTAAAATATTTATTAAAAAATCAAAGTCATCTGTAACCAGGTGGATATTTATTTATCTTTAAGCTAAAATAAATTTAAAGCGTCGGTGAGATCTGGACAGGAAACAGAAGAGGGGAAGGAAATCGATGTGACGCCCCACTGAGTAAATAATCCAGCAGCCGTTGGATCGATGGGCTGGATGAAGAGAAAACACGGTGAAGATCATCCTCCTCATCATCATCACAGCGAGTCTCAGAGCCGAATCGGTTCTGTTTGTTTCAGCCGGAAAGAAAATTAAAACTGGACGAAAAGAAAAACGAGTTCAGGATGTGGGATTACCGCCAGACTGATTAAACACAGGAAGTCTGATTTAATGACTTCCTGTCTGCGTAAAATCGTTTATCAGGATTTTCCATCTGAGCCGTTAAACCAACATAAATCTCCTGTAAATCCCAGATGAAAATTATTCATGCTGGAAATAATCCCATCGGTTTATTTGAGATTTTCTGGATGACAGATCTGGGTGTTGATGGAGGAAACGCCAAACCGTCTTCTGTGGTTTTCCTCCTTCCTGGAGCTCCTCAAGTCTCAAACCCAACAGATAAAACTGAAATTAAGATTACTTAACTTCAACTAAAATTAAATTTAATAATTTATTTAACTTCAACTGGGTCAAAGTTCTCCAAACAAATCAGATTTTATTATTAAATGAAAATCATTCATTTTTTTTTTCATATTTTCTCAGCTAAAAACAGATTTTATATCAACTCTCATCTGAAAATTCTTCCTGTTTTCAGTTTTAATCCAACAGATTTAGTTCACTCAGGTCTAATCCAGACTAAGTCCTGGTTACCATGGCAACAGGAGGAAACCAGACTAGTACAGAAATATGGGATGTAACTGTGGTGAAGCTGATTTTATGTTCAATCAGCTTGCCATACAGACATGCAGCACCAGCCCTCAGAGACAGGCAGCCGGGGGCCGCGGGACCTGCAGACCACAGAGGATTTAACTAGGCCACTCAAATGGTCAATCTAGAAGTCAGAATGTGAAGGAGTCAAATTAAAATAATTAGGTGACAATTTAAGTTAATAAAGATGATTAATATCATAATTTGGATAAATATGAACTATTAGAAAGTTTTTGTAATAAAACTGAAGTTTCTGTAAACTTGAGCTGCAGATTCTAGAAAAACTCAACAGATTCAACGCGTCATTTTTTATTAAAACAAGAAAGCTAAGAGCTGCGTGTGGAAAAGTAAGTACACCCTGTGACCCAGCAGCAGTCTCTCTGCAGGGCCAAACATTCCTTTGACTAGGCCATTCCAGCCGTTCTGCTGCTGGACGCCCCCAGCATCACCCCTCCACCACCATGTTGAAGATTTTTCTGTGAATTATAATTTTTTTTTGCTCTAACAGTTTTCAGAAAGTCGTTGAGACATGAAACTGTCTCGTCGCCGTGACGCCGACGCTTCACGGGGCCAGAGCGGCTTCAGGATTCAGATTTCTGTCTCGGTTCTGGTTTCCGGTCCGGTCTGCTCGCCCAGGCTGACGGCCACCCGGCAGCCAGACGGCGCCGAGTCGCTCTGGAAGGTGGTGAAGGTGGGCGGCGCCCTCTGCTGGCTGCCGCCGCTCCTCCGGCCGAAACGCAGCGACTTCTGGAGCAGCGGCCGCAGCGAGTGCGCGGAGGTGGCGCGGGGCGGCGACGGCGCGGCGTGGCGGTTAGCGTGCTGGATGGTCAGGCGGCAGCGCAGCACCTGCAGGAACACCTGGCGGAAGTGACGAGATGACAGGTTGTAGAGGAACGGGTTGAGCACGGAGCTGAGGTAGAAGAAGGCGTCGGCCACCAGGTGGAGCCACGCATAGATCCAGAAATACGACAGAGACCAGGAAGACTTCGGGACAGCCGCCGTCATCAGGCGCCGCAGCTGGTTAGGAAACCAGCAGAGCGTCAGAGAGCCGACGATCAGACCTGCAGGGGGAGGCAACACGTCAACATGGCAACCAGGCAACATGGCAACCAAGCAACATGACATGTCAACATGGCAACACAACATGTCAACACGGCAACATGGCAACCAAGCAACATAACATGGCAACCAGGCAACACATCAATATGGCAACACGTCACCATGGCAACCAAGCAACATGGTAACCAGGCAACATGACATGTGAACATGGCAACAAGACAAGATGGCAACCAGGCAACACATCAACATGGCAACACGTCAACATGGCAACATGTCAACACGGCAACCAGGCAACATGGCAACAAAACACAGGAAAACAAATAAAACAAACTGAACCACCAATAAACCTGGTAAATAACCCAGAAATATAAAGTAACAAAGAGTAAATTTGAACAGAATTAAAGGTAAAAATTTTGTTCAAATAAAGAATAAACAGCTCCAACAAACAAATATTATTAATAATATTGGTAACACTTTATTTGACGGGGTGTGAAAAAGACTGACATGACACTGTGATAAACATGACATAAATTTGTTGTAAAAGTATTACTGATTAAACTTTACCTTTAATAACATAAACCTACATAATTTTTAAAATGCAATCAGTAATACTTTTATAACAAATTTATGTCAGATCATGATTTCTTGGTTAATGTCAAGTTGTCATAACAAAGACATTTTGAATAATGTCAACTTTGCATTAAGAGTGTCATAATTTACCAAATGACGCTTTATGACAACAGTCATAACTATTCATGAAGGCTTATTCACAGCCCGTCAAATAAAGTGTCACCATAATATTCTTATTATATTATATTATATTATATTATGGCTCCAACAGCAAGTAATCAGATTAGTTACCATGATGATACACAGCGCTACACTGTGATGTCATCAGGTCAACCGTCCAATCACTGATCAGATAAATCATCACTTTCTCCAGGTGAAAACAATTTTTCCTAAAAAATTTACAATTTTTCAGACTCAGAAATTTAATTCTTTTCTCTTGAAAATTTTGGAGATTAATTTTAAAATTTGTGAGTTTTTTCTTACAAATGTTTGACTTTTTAAACTCAGATTTTTTTTCTGAGATTAATGTCAAAATTTCAGCCTTTTTGTAGCAATTTTTTAAGATTAATCTTTAGTTTTGGCTGAAATTTGATCAGCATTCATTTCTTCATTTATTTGGATGCCATAAATGTCGATAATAAAAAACGGCTCATTTCCTCCATGAGAAACACATAATATCAGTCTTCATCAATATTTATGTGAGCATCAATATTCTAGTGTTGGTTATTGGAGTTGCTCTGGCGACCAGCAGCATCAGCAGCAAGGCGGTTTGATGGGCGACCCGGCGGCTCGGAGAATCCGCCAACAGAACTTCGTCTGCAACAGGAAGCAGAAGCTGCCGCTAGCCGCTGGATTAGCATCGCTGGAGGCTTCCAATAAACGGAGGCAACAGTAATAAAGTCTGAATTGGAGACTGATGGGTGCAGATTTTTGTTTGCAGTAAACATAACGCATCTGGTGCTGCGGCGCCGGATCAGCGCTTCTGGAAGGAGATGAGAAAATGCAAAGCAGCTGATTTTCTACAAAACATGCAAAGAACCGCTGACAGGAAGAATAAGACTTACTGTTCTTAACTAATGTTGAATCAGAAACAGAAAAATGATCTCCACCATTATTTGAGGAGCTAATTTTTAACTTAATGCTTTTGAATTCCTCCAGAAAAATGAATTTAGGGGAAGATATGTGCATTAAATGTTTTTAAAGTTAATAAAAACACTAACATTAGCTCCACAATTATTAGAGGAGAGAAGCTTCAGAATTCATCCAGAAAAACTCATTTAGGAGAAGCTACCTGCGCTAAATGTTAGCAAAAACACTTAAATTAGCTGCACCATTATTTAAGGTGCTAATTTTAGCTTGACGCTTTTGAATTTGCCCAGAAAAATTAAAGTGGGGGAAGGTACATACACTAAATGTTTTCAAAGTTGACAGAAACACAAAAATTAGCTCTGCTATTACTGGAGAGCTAAGTTTTAGCTTAGCATTGTAGAATTTATCCAGAAACATTTGTGTAGGGGAAGCTAACCATGCTAAGCATTTCCAAAGATGGAAAGAATCCTGAAGCGTTAAGCTAAAGATTAGCTTTTTTATTTGTGAAGTAGCAGACGTTAGCCCACCACTGTTGGCATCATTTTCCAAAATGTCCCTTCATGACATTCTTGCTCTTTGCGAGTGTTTACAAATGAATGTAATTTATGTAACTGTAAATCTGAGGGGATTAATGTAACTGAAGGAATAATGATGATTATTTGTAACTCCAGGATGCTTCAGATTTCTAAATGCTGCCAGTTCAGTGAGCCAGGTTTCATGTTCTCTTCATCTGGTCGGTATTTGCTCCATGTTTTCATTGTTCCTGTGAGCTCAGTGAAACCAGACGGTTGTATGACGCTTCGTTTCCTGTTTTCCTTTCAGCGTTGGCTCACATCTCGTCTCGGCGCTGATCTGGCTGCTGCCCAGCCGACCGACACAAAGCTCCGCTCACAGGAGTCCCTCCGCTCGTCCACTTCGCTGCTCACAGCCTCTTTATCCTGCAGATTCTCTTATTAATATTTGATCTGACTTGGCAAACCCTTGGAAGTCTCTGAACACCTGACTGCCTCTGAAAAATATTCCATCTTTGTCGGATCTTTTGTCTTCCTGTTTAATCCTCAGAAAGATTCGTGGCTTAGTTTAAAACTTTGTCATGTTGCTTTTGGACTCGTAAACCCAGAACAACTGGAGCCGTTTGGGCAAAACTCAATTAACAACGGCCACTGATGAGCGATGAGACCAATGACTGGATTTCTGATCAGTGACATCCAATCAACACTGATCAGGCAGATGAAGTGACAACTGGCAATTCAAAGACAACAAATGAAGATCAGCAGACGCCTCTTAGTCTATTTAGACACCTGATGGAGTTTCATGAGGGTTACTTTCTAGGTTATCTAGATTAGAAAATGTTGAGCGCTGTTGGAACTAGATGACCGCAGCCTCAATTTCAAGGCTCTAGTACCCTAAAATGGGCCCCATCACCCATGGGAACAAACACTGGACTCTTAGGATTCAATCCTGTTCAGTTTGTCTGCCTAGTCAAAGTCCTGTCCGGTTTGTGTGAATGCTAATCGACCTCTGACCTCTGGTCCTCCAAACCTCAATCTGGGTTCAGTTGAAGTGAACTCTGGTTCAGTTTGAATGTGAATGCCAAGTGGAACGGAGACCGCTCCAAAAGCATGAAGTGGACTACAGCACAGGGCATTCTGGGTAAATACAACCGAAGCTAACGTGTTAGCCTAGCACTAGCAGCAGAAATGGCTCCTGGTCTTTAGCCTAAAGAGAAATCCTCCAACCGCTAAAATCCTCCATCTTGTTTCCATCTGGTGAAACAGGAAGTTGCTCTCAGTGTCTTCAGAGGTTTTTGTGTCGTTTCCCTAAGTGGTTCTTGGTGCAGCGCCCCCACAGGCCAGGAGGGGAACAGGTTGGTTTGACTCAGAGCCACAGCAGCTAGATGTGGAGCAGATGATAGAGTTCTGGTTCCAGTGGAACCGGGTCGATTGGACCATCAGGAGTCAACCACTGGTACCAGCTGGACTTTGGGTTCCTGTTCCCGTGTGTAGGAATTCTCATCAGAAACAGCTGAGGTTGGAGTCTGATGTAGCCAGGAGAGATGGAGTATAGATTTCTCCAGAGGTAAGAGGCCAGCAGGCTTCAGACCTTTAGGTCACATTTTGAGGTCAGGATTTGGTTTGGTGGCTTTGCACAGCAGATGGAGCCATCAGAGACCCTGACACCCTTATGACACTAGTAACATTTCTCTCTTTCGTCGCTTCTCCTTACAGCAGAAAGTAAACTTCCCACTTCTGAAGTCAAATGGTTGGGAAACCATAAACCTTAATGATTCAACAGACACTGTTGATGATCTGAATCTGAAATCAGTAACTCACCCAGGAAAATGATCGTTTGCTTCCGAGCCGCCTTCGTGGTTTCGCTCTCGTGCTTTCCGGGCCTTTCGGTCCCGTTGATGCCGTCGTCCAAAGATCCCAGCGGCTTCTTCAACACCAGGATCATCGCCCGGCACATGAAGGCGACGGAGATCAGCACGATTATGTAGAGGACAAACGCCCCGAAGATGCTAGCTCTGTACATCACCCAGTGCTCCTTCAGACTGGTGCAGAAACTCAGTTCCTGTCGGTGCGGTATGTGTCCCTGCATTCCCGTGGCGATCAACAACGGCAAGGCAATGAGAACGGACACAACCCAGGCAAAGGTGATCAGAACCGAGGTCCGTTTGCCGCTCAGTGCCTTGTAGCGGAACGGGTGGCAGATGGCAACGTAGCGCTCGAAACTGAGTGTGGCCACGTTGAGGATGGTGGCGTAGCTGCACGCCTCAAACAGGAAGTTGTAGATCTTACAGGACGCGTTGCCGGACGCGGCTCCGAAGGGGAACCAGATGGCGCTGTAGAGCTCCACCGGCATGCCGATGAGGAGCACCAACAGGTCGGAGCTGGCCAGGCTCACCATGTGGTCCGTCACGTTTTTCTGCAGGTAGCCGTTTCGCCTTAGCACCTGCGTCACCCTGATGGTCACTGAATTACCCACAATGCCTGCAACCAGCATGAGCGTGTAGAGGACGGTCATGAAGATCTTGACGGAATAGGTGGGCTCCAGTTTGCTCCAGTCTATTCCCCCATCGGTGTTGTTGCTCTCGCTCATGATAGCTGAGTGGTGAGGTAAGATTTGTTCCAGGTATTGATTAGCTTATCAGCTCTCGGGTCACAGTCCCTCTGGACGGAACCAATGGGTCAAAACCACTGAAACCGAAGACGGGTTCCCGCAAAAATAATCCCAACTCACCAAGAAGTTTATCAGTCAGTTTTAAACTCAGATCCCAATAAGATCCTTGGTTTAAATAAATGAAGACTTTGCTGGACTTTGTTTAGTTCTCCAAACTGAACTGTGGTTCTGGTTCTGGCCTGAAGCCCGGTCCGGTCCGTCTCTGTCTGGGTAAATGAGTTTGACGTCCTGAATTCCTCTTAAAGCCGTGTGCTCGTTGTGCCTGGTTCCGTGTGAGGCCAGCGTTTCCTCCTCCCTCCAGGGCCAGGCGGTTAAACATTAAACACGTCCAGGCTTATCAGCATTAATGCGCCTCTGTTTACATCAGCGCTGAATCTCAGCTTTTATCAGACATCCCAAATCAGAGAAAACACCTGCTGCAAGATTCACACTACCTCAAACTTTAGTAAGTAACTTTTAACACATTTAAACCTTATTTATTAACACTTTGCAGCATTTCACTTCATACTGGAATTAAATCTGCTGCTTTACACAAAAGATGATCATGTTGAATAAATAACACTTATAAAACACAGAGAAATAATCTGATTAAGGTTGGAAGTCAGATCCAGAAATAATGTCCCACCATCAGAACTCTGGTCCAGTTCAATCTGGAAAACATGCTGTAGCTGCATGCTAGCTGTCAATCAATCAATCAATCAATCAATCAATCAATCAATCAATCAATCAATCAATCAATCAGTCAGCACCCTTCATACTAACAGCAGCTCAAAATGCTGTACAGATCAACATAATCAAACCATTACCAACCCCACATAGAAAAACACAACTGTATGGAAATCGCAGACGGAGCAGAAATGATTCGGTTAAACTCGGGTCTGGATCGGCTCTTAAACAGAAACATTTTCTGCGGCCCTCAGGTCTTCTGGCAGACTGAGACCCAAACTGGGCTGCGATACTGGGAAGAAGCCTCACCATCAGTGAGTTCTGACTCTTGGACCTGTTACAGTCTGGTACCAGAGAACCTGAGGGCTTCATAAGCAGCTCTACAAGATGGTGCAAGACCATGGAAGATTCAAGTTTTTCTGAAGTAGAAACTCAGAAGTATTAATTTCATAATAATACTAAATATTTAGTTTGAATCTGTGACATTTACATACTGGCAAACTATTTAGCATGCTAACTAAATATTTAACATTAAAGTTTGAAAGTGTGACAGTTGCATGCCAGCTAACTACTTAGCTTGCTAAGACTTACTATGTTAGCTAGATGGTCAACTGAGTGGTTTTATGTATTTTGTTGTTTGTCCAATTTTTAGGTTCACAAACTTTTAGCTTTAGCTCCATCTTTGACATGATGGGATCTGTGGTGTGAACTGATACATGTTTCAGCTGAAAAAAACTGAATTAGCTTGTTAAAATATGTTTTGCTAGCGATCCTAAATGAATAAAATATAGTAATGTCCAACTAAAACTCTTATTTCTGACAACCAGTGTGTACATTTAACTTAGATGTTTATTTAGCACTGATAAAAATGTAAAAGTGTTAGTAAGAGCTTACAGGAAGACCAAGGGGTAAGCTAATGTTAGCTCCTGTTATGATAGCATTCATAAAGCTACCAGGACGTCTTCCTAATGTTGATTTACAAGCCTTGGTCTGTTTGAAATATTTATTCTTTACTTCAGTCAAGTTAAAATAAAGTTTGGTTTTAAAGTTTAATAAACATGAAACATGCTTAGCTTAAAGTTCAGCCTGTAGTCATATTCAGTGAATTATAATATCACTAAATGTGGATTAATTCCAGTAAGTCCATCACTAATTTTTATTTTACACAGACTGATGTTTTTACGTTTTATATAAGTTAGCTATGATGATTTTCTGCTTACAGTTAATAAGAATACTAATATTTGAACACTAATACTCAGAAGTTTGAGACATAAAATCAGTTTTCCATAATACTGAGACTGAAACAAACTGGCTCTAAGCTAACTCAAGCCTCCATCCTGGGTGGCATTACTCAAACGTCAAAGGTGACTGTGCTTTGCTAGCAGTGAGCTATGACATATTTAATTGATTTATTGTCTTATTAGGCATGGAGGCGTTTGAACGTTGCTGATAATGAGATCCCAGAAAAGGGAAGACAAATATTAGAGTGGAAGTCAGTCTAGTGATAAAGAACAGAGAGGGAAGTTCAGCCAGGAGGAACTGGGCCGACAGAAAGCAGAAAACCAGAGTTTATATGAAATCCTTCCAACAGACCCACCCATCCTGAAGGAATGCTGCTCACGGAGTTTAACCCAGGCTTTCTCAGACTGCGGTCCGGCAGCGGCGCCCCCTACAGAGCCGCAAGGTACTGCATGCAAACGACCGTTTTGTTTACCATAGCATAATGTTTAAAAATAATAAAGGAAGCTTCAGATCGGAACACAAAATAAAAGCTGAATAAAACATTAATGTCTGCAGGAATATTCTTCAGCTTCTCAGGTTACAAAACTTTTATTCATCCATAGTTTACCGTCATCTCTGATCCGAGGCCCGAAGCTTGGATGATCTTCCTTAATTAGGAGTCAATAGCTTGTTGTTGCGCTCAGACCAGGCGAGACAAACACAAATATACTTAAGCTAAATATTTAGTTCCAAACTGAGAAATTTGTAAACCGACATGGTGAAAATATGACTCCCCCTTTTTTTATTTCTTACATCAGGCTAAATAACCGGGATGTTTAATCAGGAACTGTGTGACTGCTCCCCCTAGAGGCCGGGATGAAAAGATACCCGGGATAACCAGGAAGTGGCCTCAGAATCAGCCTGTGATTGGTCGAGACACGTTTCCATAACAAAACACACCTCACTCTGAATTTTAAAAAGATATGTTTTAATAGTGCACTGAAGTATGAAAACAGGTTTGAAAAATAAAGGAATTATTCACGAGTTGGTTGATAAAGGGGAGATTATTATTATTAATAATATAACTTTTTAAGCCTTTTTTCTTAGATTGTACAACATCCTCAAAACAAGACAGAGAACCTGAGAAAGAAAAACCCAACCCATGATTTCACAAGCACCATTATAAAACATAAACATTAATCTTCTTTAAAATCTTCTCAGCTGAAATCACCACAGAAGAAAAAACAAAACACAGAGAAAGTGCAACGAACAAAAACCAACCAAGAAGCAAAAACATTGCACATTTAACTGGACGAACCGAGAAGAGTTGGCTTTTCTTCTGCTGAGGAGGAGTTCACAGAAAGGAACGATGAAGAAGTGCTTGCTTGAGGACAGAAGTCCCAGCAGACAGGAGGCGCCGGCTGCGTTTTCAGCTTCATGTAGAGACTCAGTAGAAATCTGTAGTGATTGATAAATAAACGTGTTTCTGCTCATCTCCATTAAACGGAGGAAACTCAGAGCAATCTGAATCATTCCATTTCCTCTGAGGTTAAAGGTGAATCCATCCAGGAGAAATTAGTGTTTTGGTCCCGAGTGACGCGGCGGTTCCCCGTCACGGTTAGTTCCTTAGAGCAGTGTTTTTCAACCACTGTTCCGCGGCACACTAGTGTGC